CACACACACACACACACACACACACACACACACACACACACACACACGTCAGAGTCCTGAACATTTCGGTAATCTTCTGCATTAGGCACTGAGCCTCCCGCTTTGGGCCAGAAAGGACCTCCCAGCAACTGTGTCCAATGTTAGCTGATCCCAGTGGAGCCCCCCTCCCAAGGCCACGTGCGTCACTGCCTACTTTCAGCCCGTACCTCTCACCCAAGGGTCTCGAGCTCATTACTAATATTATCCTGCAGCCACTATTCTTGTCCTGCTCCTCTGACGGTGGGAGAAGCCAGAACTTAAGGAGGGGAAGGGATTGGGCCTCTCATTCCAGAGGGATCCTGGTCCAAAAATAAGGGGACAAGGGCCTAGGGCACCTCCTGGCTAGGGCAGAGTGAGGCAGGACAAATAATGAGAGTTTTATGGGTTTTCATCTGTTTTCAGGCAAGCTTCCCGTTTCCCCTGGAAACCTAAAGCACAAGAGAGACAAAACCCAGGGCTTAGGAGTCCCATTTCTCTCTTAGTCTGTCTCTCTCTGCCCCTCTTTGTATTTCTCTGTCTCCGTCTCTGTCTCTCTGTCTCTGTCTCTCAGTCTCTCTCCCTGTATCCCTGTCTGTCTCTCTCTCTCTCTCTCTCTCTCTCTCTCTCTCTGTCTCAGTCTCTCTCTCTCTCCCTGTCTCTCTGTCTCTGTCTGTCTCTGTTTCTCTCTCTGTCTAGAGTCTAAGGGTCCCGGGTTCCAGACTCAGCCTAGCCACTAGCTACCTAGGTCACCTTGGCCAAATCACAGCCCTTTTCTGAGCCTCCATTTCCTAACTGGACAAAGGAAAGGACTGGATGATCTCAGAGGTGAAAGGATCTCACAGCACATTTTGTCCAACCTGTGTCTATGCAGGAATCCCCTCTATAACATGTAGGCAAGAGGGTCACCTCCCCACACACACACTTTCTAAGTGCCCTCTAAGGTCCCTTTCAGGCCTCCCATTCCAGGATTCTAAGGCCCTTCCCCCCTGCATGCTCAGGCCCCAGCCAGCCCTTCCCCATCCCCCCTATCCCGGGAGGGCTCAGGCCTATTTTTGAAGGTGTGCTAGGAGGACTTGGCTACTCAGAGCCCCTGGTTCCCTGCCTGCCGAATGGTCCCCGAATAAACACAGCTGCCTCCCTTCTGCCCCTCACCCCACAGCTGGTGCCTCGCAGTCATAACAAGGTAATGTGAGGCTCCTATGGACCATGGGCTCTGGACCCAGGAGGGCGCTTGCTGGGCTGGAGGGGAGCCTAGAAGGAGCAGAATCCAACCATCCTCATCTCGGTAAATGGGCAGAAGGAATTTCAACGATTTTTTTTCAATCCTGAATCATCTTTTCTGTTATTTATCCCACTGTCTCCCTGGTAGCTGGCAAGAAAGTCCTTCTGACAAGCCAGTGTGGGGGAGTCAGCTTTCCAGACACCCGTGAAACAAAGACGGACAAGACGGGAGGCAGAAGAGAGACACCCCACCCCCCATCCCCAAGAAGTTTCTAGGCTTCCGTAGACAGAGGAAAGCAATCCCTTCAAGAGATCCAGCGGAAACAAAATGATTGGGCTTCCTTATCTGAAGGATGGGTGCATTGACCAGGTGGCCTTGGAGGTGCCTTCCAACCCTATGTCTATGTTATTTCCTCTCCCTGAGCCTCAGTTTCCTCCTCTGTAAAATGAGGGACTGGATTCAATGATTCCTTAGGTGCCCTTTCTCTTTCAATCCGCCCTCCCAATGTTCATCGTAGGGATGGGGAAGAGGGGCAGGGTGAGAGGCCCAGAAGGTTGCAATATTGTTTCTCCCCACCAGCTTGCTGTGTGACCTTGGACGCGCTGCTTAACTTGCCTGGGCCTCCCTTACAAAATGAGGAGGCTGAACTAAGTGACCTCTGAGGTCCCTTTGACCTCCTGTATTGAATGATACTATGATACTAATAATAATAATAATAATAATACTATAATAGCAGCAGCAGCAGCAGCATAACTGGCATCTCTATAGTGCCAAGTGCTTTCCAGTCATTATCTCCTAAGAGCCTCCAACCAGCCCCTGCGAGATAAGGATTAAAACCTGGGTTCTAGTGCCAGTTTTTGTACTAACTCACTGTGTGACCCTGGACCACTCATTTCTCTTCTCCAGGCCCCAGTTTCCTCGCATCTGACAAGCAAACTGAAAGAACCAGACAAGGTGACCTCTGAGATCGTCCCCAACTCCCAAATTCTGTAAGAAAGACCCTGGGCCTTTCATCCGGGTCTTTAAAGTTTTGGGGGCAGTGAACTCGTTTTCCAAATGAGGAAAAAAAGGGAATGAGCAAATGGAGAAGTGGAAATGTGGCTTAGTGGGAGGAAGCCTGCATTTGGAACCCAACGACCTGGGGCAGAAATTCTCACTGTTATTTACTCCTTGCACGAACAGGCAAGTGACTTGCCTCGTCTGAGGTCTGCGTCCTGTTTCAGACATTCACGAGCTGTGTGACTGTAAAGTGAGGACTTAGTCTAGAAGGTTCCTTGTGCATTTGTTTTCTTACGGCCTCTCTTTGCTTCCATTTCCCATCTAGAACATATGGGGTTGCTGTGTGACCCTGGGCAAGTCACTTAACCCCGATTGCCTCACCAGAAAGCAAAAAATAAATAAATAAATGAAACACATGGGGTTGAACCAGATGGCCCCTAAGATCCCCTCCAGCTCGAAATTGGTGATTCTAAAATTGGTCAAATGAAAAGATACGAGGTCAAGATTCTTTGTTCCTATGACCTGTCCGAGGTCCAGAAGTAAGACCAGTGACCAAGGTGGGAATAAGCCTAGAATGGATATTGTCAGGGTTCAAGAGCTATGATTTTGGTGATGTTGAGCCATCCCCCCTCCTTACTTCTGACCCCAAAAAATGCAAATAGCCACACACCCCCAAAGGAAAGACACTCTTAAATCTAATTCCTTCAGAGACAGAGACAGAGTGGCATTCCTGATGACTCCTTTGCCATTATAATTTGAGACGTGGAACGAACAAATGGCACCCCAAGGACTCAGCGGCCTTCCAGAGCCATCCTCTCCTGGGCTTCGCATGGACTTTTAAGACCTTTGGAAAGCTTCCTGCCTCTCATGCCCAAAATGATCCGGGGTGGGGATGAGGGTGGGGAATGTTTCCAAGAAGGCAGTGACCTCTGGCTCCCCAGCCCAGATGCCAAACCAATGTCCTTTCAGAAGGTCCAGACTCTTCAGGCAGGGAGGAGATTCCAGACAGACTTCTCTACCCTATAGCTACCACCACCCAAAAAGAAACAGCTCAAAGACCCTCCCCCCCAACACACACATCCTCACACCAGGAGTGGGAGACTCATACTATCAGAGCTAGAAAAGAACTTAGAACATAGAATATAAGAGTTGGGAGGAACCTTAGAACTAGAATATCAGGTCTTGGGGAATCCTTAGAACACGGAATATCAGAGAGAGATCTTAGACAAAGAATGTCAGAGTGGAGAGGGATTTTAGACCTTAAAACACAGAATGTCTGAACTAAAATGCTAGAATTAGAAATCATTTAGTCTAATGCCTTTATTTCTCAGGAGAGGAAACAGACCTAGAAAGGAGAAATGACCACCAGCTTGTGAGTTCCATGGGGGCAAGAACCAAGTTTCACTACAGTGCTGGAGGTTGACTGGAGGTCCTATTTCCGCACAGCCCCTCTATCAGGCTTCCTCGCTCCCCTCACCACAATGTGACTTTTGTAGGTTTTCTGCTTTGATTACTGGGGCTTCCAAAGTCCAAGAAGGAGAAAGTCTCATTTCCTTCCTATTTTCTGAAGGCCTTGGCTCATCCCCCCCAGTCACAGGTCAGCTGAAGTCTGGCCAACCACCCTCCTATCAGGGAAGCGACCCAGACGTCGTTCAGGGTGAAAGAGTGAAAAACTGCAGAAGACATTTGGCCAAGATAGAAGAGAGAAAAGAGTAGCTTTTTCCAACTGCCACCAAGATCAAAGGCTCATCTATGTGGGTCTGCAAGGGACCTCACAGGCTTCTTAATTTATAGGGGGAGGAAACTGAGGCCCAGGAAGCAGACCTGACTTAGCCGGGGTCACACAGGTAATAAGGGGCAGAACCAAGATTTGAATCCAGGTCCTCTGGCACCAAACCTACTGATCCTTTGTTCTCCTGCAGCCTGGAGAAAGAAAATCTTAATGACGTGCCCAAGCCAGGAGCAGATGCCCAGTCACCCTCCTTGGGCGCACAGTGAGAATGCTTATTGGCTCCTCAAGCCAGGAAGGACCTCGAAGCACCTAGTCCAACATCCTCATTATATAAATGGGGAAACTGAGGCCTAGAGTAGAGATTTAAGTTGTCCAAGGGTACACTGAGTTAGGGCCAGAGCCAGGTTGCCTGTCAATGAGTTCTCTCCTGCACTCCACTGGCTCCTGGGTGACCCAGGAGTCAGGGAATCTGGGTTCCTCTCTCTGCCCTTTACTGCGCAGTTAACATTAGGGCAAATCACTTCCGCTCTTGAAATCTCATTTTCCCCATCTGTAAAATTGAGGAAGGAGACGGGATTACAATCCTCTAAAGGATGCTGGGCTTGGAGTCAGGAAGACCTGAGTTCAAATCTTGCCTTCTATACTTATTAGCAGTGTGACCCAGGGCAAGTCACTTAACCTCTGTCTGCCTCAGTTTCCTCATCTGTAAAATGAAGGGGTGGGATTCAGCAGCTTCTGAGGTTCCTTCAGGCTCTAAACCTATGATTGCTTCCCAGCTCTAAATAATAGGGGTGTGTGTGTGTGTGTGTGTGTGTGTGTGTGCATTTTCCAAATGACAGATCACATACACATATATAAATATATGAAACTATTTGCTTAAGGCATATGTATAATATATAATATACTTATGTTGTATTACAGTAATATAGTATATGTTATGATGTCATAATAAATGTCATAATAGTTGCTTTAGAAAATACATATATGCAAATTTTGACTAATGAAATGGACAAACTAAACCATTCCCACACCCTCTAATAACAGTATTAATAATTCCCATGTCTAAAGAACACTAATGTTTATAGTGGAGTGGTTGCTGAAGAGATCCCAGGCTGGCCCACAGGGGAGCTGGTTGGGAAGGGGACCTCTGAAAACTAACATGGCCCCAGCTACAGATGAGTGAAGACAAGCAAATACCAATCAGGAGTTAAGTCAGAGGTCTCTGCCATTAGAAGGGAAGTCACTGAGAAAATAGTCTAATGCTCCTGCTTCACAGAAGGGGAAGCCAGGCCCAGGGAATGGAAGTGACTTGCTCAAAACCACATAATGCATGACCCAGGAACCAGGAGACCAATTTACACAAGACTGGGGGAGCTCACAGATTTTTCAGGGGCTTAGTAACTGCTAAGTAAGACACAGTCGATGGATGGCCAAGACGGAACAGGGAGGAAAATAGCTTTTTCAGCTGCCCCTGTGCATCACACCTATTCAAGCTTGGGTCCTTGTGAGGGTCTGGCCTGGTGGACAGCCTTCATTCTCTCTTCTGATTAGGTTTCCTGGGAGCTAGGACTCCTGGGGCTGGTCCCCAGCCCTGCCTAGGAATTTCTCACCTATTGCATTGGAAAGCACTCCAACCAGACCTGTGTTCAAATCCTGGTTCTGCCAGACTTTCAGTGTGATTTGGGGTCAACCGATTCCTTTCCCTGAGCCTCATTTCTTCCATCTGTTAAATGGAGTTGGACTAAATGATCTTGAAGGTGTCGAAAAACTCTGGGTTTGGAGACTGAGGGTGAACATTGGAACACAGGCACTAGGACTGAATAGCTGTGTGTCTGAACAAGTCCCCCACCTCTCTGGTCTTTCATTTCCTCTCTTTGTCTAAGGTGGGGGGGGGGGGTGTGCACCAGATGCTCCCTGAAGCTCACTCCAACTCTTCTGCTCACCAGTTCTTGACCCAATAGCCAGGACGGAAAGAGGGGCTGCTTTGAGATCCTTATTCAAGGCAGTCAGCCGAGTGGGTGGCCATGGTCTGCCCCTCCCTTTACCTGATCAGCACCTCCTGCCCGTGGCCGTTGAGATCCGTCTCCACCTTTCCCCAGATGTTCAGCACCAGTTGCCACTCTCCATCGCTGAGCCCCATGGCGCTGTCCGAAGAAGATAAGCAAGAGTGTCAGCTGTCCCCAAGTCTCGAGTTGGGTTTGGAAGCAGCTCCAGCCTGCCGGGGGCCTTTATACCGTCCCTTGGGTCCTGGCCACTCCTATCAATTGACAGCCCCAGCCTAGCTCTCACTGTCATCCCCGTCTAGGTTCTAATCTCTTTCTTTCTTGCTCACATGGAAGTTATTTTCGGGTCCGATGCCATTGTGGGCCTGCCCCGAGCCCAGGCCACCAGCTGGGGGAGGGGTGCGGGGAGTCTGGGGCTAGCCCCCTCCTGAGTCAGGCCGAAAGGGCACTGGCCAGTCCCCTGCCAGAAGCCTGTAACTCAACTCTCCCTCCGACCAGGAGACTAGCAAAGGCCCCACCATGCCGCCAAGCTCGGGATTCCAGCTTCTTGGCCCTGACTTTGGGGCCACAAGACCCGCTTACCTTATTTAGAACCTCTTCCCTGACCTTCCTGAAGTGATCTCAAAACTCCGAAGGGGAGAGGGGGAGGGAGCCCCCACCCCAGCACCAGCTGTTTTCTCCCAGGTGTTTCTCAGCCATTCAAAAAACTTTTGTTAAGCACCTACTATGTGTGGGCGTGGGAGAGGTAAACATGTCAGAGGATCGTAGATGGGAGCCAGAAAGGACTTTGGAGGTCATCTGACCCAACCCCCTCCCTGATTTTACAAATAAGGAAACTGAGGCTAAGAAAGGAAAAATGCCAAATTCAAACACAGGTCTCTGACTCTAAATAGAGGACTCTTTCCACCTTACTTCATGGCCCTACCAATGAATGAGAATGCAGGTGGAAATCAATCCACAAACATTTAAGGATGTACTGCAGCTAGCCACTGGACTTGGTGTCAGTAAGACCTTTGTTCAAATCCTACCTCAGGCACTTACTAGTTGTATGACGGTAGGCAACTTCAGCTCAGTTTCCTCATCTGTAAAATGGGGATAATAATAGCACCTATCCCCACAGGGTAGGCATGAGGATCAAGCAGGATAATACACAGAAAACGATTTATTGAAATGTTAGCTATTATTATTGTTACTGTTATTAAGGCATACATCGAAATGTTAACTATTATTATTCCTACCATGATCCAGGCACTGTGCCAGGCCCTGGGCAGGATGTCAAGTTGAGTCACCAAGCATTTATTAAATGCTTACTCTGTGCCAAGCACTGCTAAACACTGAGGACTCAAAGAAAGGCCAAAAACCAGTCCTTGCTTTCAAGAAGCTCACAGGAAGGCCTGGGTTCAAATTCTGGCCTCCGCTACTTACTAGCTGCATGGCCTTGAGCGCATCATTAAAAGTCCAGGGGTCTGTGAGCTCTCTAAGGACCCTTCCAGCTTTGTCTAAGACCTATATTTATCCCTGTATGTGCTATCTCCCCATGGTCCTGGGAGAAGGGCCAAGGCAGCTGGTGATGAATAGGGAAAGGCCAGAGAGGAGAGGAGCAGGGAGCAGGGAGTAAAGCAAGCATGGCTGGGCCCCCCAGGAAAGGGTGGTCTTTTCCAGGAATTCACCATCATTAGAACAGGGCCTCCAAGCCAAGGTTTCTTCAGGATGAGTGTCCTGGGAGTGACATGAGACTCAAACCTGGGAGAGACCTCGGAACAGCTAAGGAAACAGCCTCAGAAAGGTTAGGTGACTTGTCCAAAATCACCTAGCAAATCAGTGCCAGAGCCCTTCTGGACCCCAGTTTCTTTATCTACAAAATGAAGAGAGGGAGGTGAAGTCAGGGACCTCTGAGGTCCCGTCCATGTCCAAATCGATGACCCCATAATTCTCTAGGTAGTTGTTTTTATCTCCCAAAAGGAAGGGATTGCATTGGATGACCTCTGAGGTCCGTCTTAGCTCCACTCCAATGACGAGGACCGTTAGAAGGGGGAGCTCTCTGCTACGGGGGATAGGGAGGGCACCCTCCGGCACAAACAGGAGAGAGTCAGGGGTGGGTGGAACGAGTCAGGTCCAAGAGCCCCAGAGAGAAAGTTAATAACATCTGGTGAGCTCCGCTGCCTCCAGATTCCAGAGGATCCAGGGGGCAGGAGGGGATATGTGAAGCCTCCAGGGCCCAGTGCAGCCCTGAATGCGTTTAACAATGAGCTGGCTTCATGCCAACTGGCTGCCTCATCGCTCCCAAGGCACCTAACCAGGAGGCTCTCACCCAGGAGCGCAGCTTGGCAACTTTTACCATTTAAGCAAACGGAAAGACCCTGAAACCTGGTTCCATTTCTCCATCTCCACAGCAAAGCTGCCTTGCCCAGTGGTTGCCATAGAGACCCAGAGCCTTCCACTCTGTTTTTATCATATAATTAGCAGAATGGCAGCTCTCAGTATGCCAAGATCAGGCGTGTGGGGGAAGAGAGGTTCTGGAAAAGCGGATGGAATTTCAGTGAAAAAAATCTCCCCCTGCTCCCCGCTCTGGCTCTTACACAACCCTTTATTTTCCCTTGATGGCTTATTATTTAGGTGGGTTTCTGGATGAGAGGAGCACAGTACAAAGAATCTTGGTTCTGAATTCAGAGGACCTGGGTTCAAATCCCACCTGTCTCATGACCAGTGTGACCTTGGGCAAGTTATTAACTTCCTTGGGTCTCTGTTTCCTCCTCTGTAAAATGAGAGCATTGGGTTAGATGACCTCAGGTCCCTTCCAGGCCTAAATCTCTAATCCTATGAAGTCACTTAATTTTGTGTGCCTCAGTTTCCTCATCTGTAAAATGATAGATTAGATGACCTCAGGTCCCTTCTAGCTCTAAAACCTTCTAAGCTCCTAAAGTCCACATGGTGTAATAGGTGGAATCAGGAAGATGTAGATTCAAGCTCCACCTTTGACACTTATTAGCTCTGTGATCAAGGGCAAGTCACCTAAGCAACCTCTTTGAGCCTCAGCTTACTTGTCTATAAAAATGGGCATAAAATACTTCCTTGACAGGGCTGTTGAGAGGTTAAAATGAGGCTGAGTGTGGTGTGTAGTACTAATCCAGCCTCTGCCATTTGCTACATATGTGATATTGGGTAAGCCAGATCATTTTTCTGGGCCTCAGTTTCTTCATCTGTAAAATGAGAGGGTTAGACAATTTGGAGATGAAGACAGTGAGGCCCAGAGGGAGGAAGGCTCAGGACTCAAACCTGTCTCTTGACTCCCAGACAGACCTGTGCCCTTTTCACTGAACACCACTGGTCCCCGGATTTGCTGGTAGGCAGCCCTCCTGGCCCATTCCAGGAGGGAAGGTCCTGTCCTTTGTGCACTTTCCATTTTGTCCCTCCCACCTCTGAGAATTCCAGAGCAAGATTTTGTAAAGGGACCAACTTCCACCCTCTCCTTTCCCTACCCATATACACCTGCAGTGATCTCTGGGAGTGGGACAAGCAGAGAGCGGAGGGCTTGAAACCCTTCCAGAACGTCTGGCTACAACCATAATTGAAGCTATCTCTTGCCCCCAAGGCTCAGCTCAAGGGATCTGGCAAAGTTTTCCTGAGCCTCGATTTGTCTCTCGGTAGCTTCTACCCATTGTTCCTGATTCTATCCCTAAGGGAAACTTTGAGCAAGTGTGAGACCACACTTTTCCATTTGACAGACCTCTGGTTCTGGAAGACACTGGTCGTCCCTCCACTGCT